TAAAATGTAAATCCCTCCAAATTCATTCCATTCTTTAAAACCAAACGAAGCCCAAGTCTGTGAATATATCATTTCAAAAATATAGTGATACTCAGTCTTTGCATGAACACATGAAAATAGATCAGTGAGAAAATAAATTAGTTTTCTTTTTAAAATAAAATAAAATAAAATAAAATAAAATAAAATAGTGCGATTCAAGAAAATATTATATCGTGTAAAGTTACTTGTTAGAGACGTCCAAAGCTGTAAATAATACTAAAATTTGAACTTTTTTATGGATAGGACAAATTTCAATTGATGGCCTTTATTTGGGTGGAGGCTATTTATGTAATTCGCATGGTCCTTGCTTTAATACATAAATTTTTTAAATTCATTTGAACCCTGAGGTTCAGTATTCATCGAATTAACGAACTTTGGAAGAGATTAATCTCAGGCGTTCACATAATCAACAAGATTATTCCGTGGCTTGATTTTATTCTGCTGCATCAACACATATGGAATGAGGCCGAAGTATACTGCATATTGGTGATTTTAGTGTTATCAAACACATTAGTGTAATTGTGATTTACTTAAGATCGATTATTTAAGCTTCGCCCTTGCTTAAAAATGTTTTCCCAGTCACCTAAAGCGGGGTAAGTTATGAAGACTTAGAAATTTCACTAAGTCGTGTGTATTCACCTATCACTAAGCCATCGTTGAATGTGTGTATTCGGTTGTCGATGATTAGCCTTCAACAGTCGCTGATTTTGTCTTCAGCTATTACTAAACGTGAGTTTAAGCTTATCACTGAATGTGTGCTCAGTGACGACGCTTGCCTGCTGGTTTCAGAAATCAGAAATCAAGTTCGGTTGTAACTGGTCCTTGACCTTATCCATTAAAAATTATAACCGTTAAACCGTCGATCTCTTATTTAAATATGTAAACCAAGAATCAGGGTAGAGATATCTTGATTTCACAGCCTTCAAAAGAGAGAATAATCTTAAGAATTATCCCAATACAAAATTCGTGAACCCAAGTCTAATAGGGTTGGATTATTGTATTCGGAAATTGCTTTCCGACACGATTCTTGATTTTTATCCAGTCCCTATATCTCATCCAAAATTCAGTCCCTAACACTGCAGTTGGCTGGAAATTGATCTTCAAAATAAGGCTCGTGAAGGAAGATTGTCGGAGGGGATTTTTAGATGATTAGGTGATGTAGTATAAAAGATTGCGTTTCCGTTCAAGAGAAGCGAAAAGAGTAGTCTTGATAATTCATTTCATAAGTTCATTGCTGCAGGTTTCGTGTACAGAATTAGATAAACCATACTGCTCTATGAACAAGAAAATTGGCCAACAGATGTGGAGCTTTTTGAGTGGATTTCAACTATAATCGCAGAGCTATATATTATGCGCTTGCTTTACCAACTTACCACGAGTCATAACTCTGAAATGTCATCATGATGCAATAGAGAAATGGGGAGAGAGAATCCAGACTGCAACTCGTCTTCTTGGTGAATCCAAAACGATTCTGAACATCCTTGAAGAACGCCAACTTCCAGACTCAGATTAGGAATCAATGGCATACATTGATAAGTGGCAGGCACTACCAAATAGTCAATTAACACGCCACCTCTAACCGAGGCGGCACACATTGTTACAGTGTCGAAAGGGGGATAGATGGGCAAGGAGCTAGACGAGTACAGATTGTCCCAGAGCGGTATAAATTGACTTTTTTGATACCATGTTAGAATATATGAAACCTTATTAGATTACTCACCAAAATAGACATTGAGGAGAAAAGGTGGTTCCAACATATATAGGTGGAAATGGTTCAAGTCTAGTCTATATGATTCTAATATGCACCTCCAAGGGAAACTAGACGGGCACAAATCTTCTCGAAGTCTCGAGAGGGGAATAGATGGCTGAGGTGGCTAGACGAGTATAAATTGTCCCAACGAGTGTGGAGTCCTTAAAGTGATACACCTTAGCTTTGATACCATGTTGGAATATGTCGAATCTTGTTAGATTACTCTTCAGAAGAGCTCTTGAATTGAAGAGAGGTTACAACATACATAAAAAAAAATGATACAAGTCTGGATGTGAGACTCAAATAACTACCATTTGTGGCTGGAGACTCAAAGTCTTCAAGAATGTTCAATTTGTCTGGAAACTCCTACTGTTGGTGAAACCATTCGACATCTTCCTTTTCTTCATAGATTTCACAAACATTCTTATTTATTTAATTATTTTTTGAAACTTCAAAAAATCTTAGTTGGTCGTGTTTTTTTTTTTTAAATTTCTAAGCATACTATCGATTTATCAATCCTCTAAATCGATTGAATTCATCGTCAAAATCGATTGGATATATATTTTTTGCATTATAACTAAACCGAACCTAATCGACCTCAACCCGAATCCCGACCAACTCGAACCCAAAGCAATCTGAGTACATTAACCATAAAAAACCTAATATGTATTATATAAATTAATTTAATTAAAAGAAGAAATTGTATAAATATAAATGGAAAAAGCTTATTGTTAGGAATGATTAAGTATTTGAATGAATTTTTTTAATAAATGTGTCTTTGTACATCTCAAAACATGTTAAATAAATCCTTAAACTTTTCAAAACATATTAAATAAATCATTAGTATTTAGAAATGTAACCTGCAACCCATATAACAGGTAAAACGATAAATTAAAAACTTCCTAAAAACTATCCTAAACGTGAATCATGTGGCTCAATAATGTATTGGTGCTACTTTTAGTATAATTTGGAGCAATTTTCTTATATTTTGGCCCAATTTTTATATATGTATTTATTTATGCTTTAGGTACAAATGTTGTAAGTCTTGGAATCACTAATATATATCTAAGAATTTATTCCTCGTAAGGATTTGGACAAAGTCTCAACACCCCTTTGTTAACTGAACTACATGTCAAAGGCTATTCGTCATAAAGATGTATTTAACAAGTTTTCAAAAGTTCAAGAATTTATTTAACATGTTTCACAAAGTCCAATAATTTATATGTTTTAAAAAATTATCCAAAAACTTAATCACTCAAAACACTAAAGTCCAAGTTTCTCTTTAAAGTTTTTCCTTCTAGAAACCTATAAAGCATGTCCAAGCTAATCCTTTTTTGTTGTTATATGGTCGTAAAATATAATATCCTTTCTTCTTGGAAGGAGATAATTCCAAAAAGCTTCATTAATTAATTTTAACAACCAGATATTTTGTCATCTATTATTGACTCCTGGTCAGCCAATTACTATAACATCAATTATTGAGCTTTGAGAAGGAAAGGGAATTAAATATTACATCAAATCCTCATTACTCATATATATATTTTTGGAAGAATCTCGACAGATTATGACTACAATTTATCAGTATAGATAAATTCAGTGGATACAACTATTATATACACCTGTAATCCTCGTTATTCATTCATGGAACATGGATGTAAACAAACAAAGTGTAATTCTATATACTAATGTAAATGATTTTGCAGAAAATGAAAATTCTTATACATGTATTTGAAATCAACATAAAAACAACAATAACAATTGATAGAATTCGAGAATCTTACTTGTAATTTGCAGATTCTTGGTGAAACGAACACGGATTAAACCTGCACCAACGCAGTGTTCCAACAGAAAAATTCGCAGTAGTATTAGCATTTGTCTAAAGGATGCAACAGTAGAATTCAAGTTTCAACTTGAATCCTGCGAAATAAGATATGTTTGGTAATGGAATTTGGAGAGAAACCACCTTGAAGGCCCCTTATGAAAACCTAACATCCAAGCTATTAAATGATTTATTTAATGCATAAGTGTTGATTCTTATTAGATATGCAAAATTCCATAATCTTATGCTAAATTCATTTGTTAATAAAACTTGAGCTAATTACACTTGGTTTATTTCAGCTCATTCGTCTAATGTTGGTATAAAAGCACGATGTCATACATGTTGGAATTGGTGCATAGCTGAAAATTTGTGGAAAAAGAACATCAAGACCATCAAAGACATGGAAAAACATGAAATGAAAAGAAAAGAAAGCAGGAAAAAGCATGAGCCAAAAAGGAAGACATGGAAAACGTGAAAGTTGGAATGAATTTTTAAATATACTTGAATTTTGTGAAATATATATAATTGAATTTTAAAATTTATAATATGAATTCTTTTTATAAAGATAATTATATACCTGAATCTTGTAAAATAATTTAATTGAAACGAAGGTATCATGCGTAAAAAAGTAAACTATTTAATTATAAAAAATGAAAAAAAAATATCATATTTGTTAATGATTATCTCTTTCTCTAGCTAAAAACAACTTTAAATTAAAACCATAAAATCAAATTTAATTTAGGACTTAAATCGGTCTTTACGGTTCTCAATCTTTTTATGGTTCTCATTTAATTATCGTCATACATAAATATGCTTAACTGTTTGAATTTTTTTTTTTGAAAAGATGGTCTCTAGAAAGAGGATCTATTATGTGAAAATTAATATACCCCTCAAACTAATTTTTCAAACCACGTTCCCCAATGATTTAACTCAGTTTTCTACATTTATAACCATGAGCACACGTAGGATATGTTAGAACATATCCAAAAGATTTTTTAAAACGGAAAAAATAAAGATTTTAGAAATTATAAAGAATATACTCAAGATTCTTTTTTTTTTTTGTTATTATAAGATTCCACTAGTAAAAATTCTAAAAAAAGGATTTTTTTAGAAATTTCTAAGTATTTTCCACAAGGGTCATGTCTAGTCATAGCTCAATTATGTGTTTAGGCTTTTTTTTAACAACCCCACACATCAATTATTGGCCCTTGGAAGGAAATTAAGGGAAAATAAAATATTCATCACTCATCACGTGTGCTTGTAAACAGATAACTCTCAAATATTATCTGTCAACTTTCATCTTTCTGTCTATTTATGTATATATATGAAGCATGGATTAGAACTTGTTCCACTGAATTAAGCTAAATCTTCATTTTCCCTTTGTCTAGCAAGATGAACTCTACGAAAGAAGCCATGCCGTGGGTGGGGCTGTATGTTGCTATGGCATCTCTCCTTTGCACTCTTGCAATGGCGGCCGATGTCTTCCAAGGTTTTCGCCAACGGAAACTCTGGTTTCCATGCAGATTTTTCACCCTCAATGCTACTTCCATCACATTGATAGCAGTAGCACTGAAGCTACCGGTGGATCTATCAGATGATCCTGACAGTGATGATTGGATCGTGAAGTCTATCAGTATCGTTTTCTTATTCACCATGTTATCCAACTTTCTGCCTTCTTTAACGGGTATGGATGACAAGGAACTTTTAACGAACATCATAGCCTTGGCTATTCTCATCATCACCATTATTGTAAATATGTGCATTCAATTAGTTGCTAATGAAGATATTCTTGCATATTCACTGGTAGAAATGTCTATCATGACATTGTTCCCTATATGGCTATTTTGGGCACCTTTAACAGTCCCAACATCTAGAAGAATTTTAGAACACCAGTACCACGAGTTGCACAGATCGGCTTTAGATTGTCAACAGATAAAGTTCTCATCCAAAGAACTCGTACGTCATGTTAAAAGGTATTGGATGATGGCGGAAACTGGTAACCCCCAATTTGTGCTTGCTTGTTCACCCTTCTGTTCTGCTTCTGGGTTGATCAGCTCAGTACTTGCTGCTGTATCAATTTCAATGTTGTTAGAAATGTGGGTCGATGGATTATCTTTTTGGTCTAACTCTGATTATAAGTGGTCACTCCCTCTCATTCTTATCATACAATTAATTGGGATTGTAGTAGGCAGCATTGCACCCATTTTTAGATGTATTACAACTGCGAGTTATTTCAACCTCTCCATTTCATGGAGCATCAACCATATAAACATGTTCAGAGTCGAAAAACATTGGACCCAAAGGCTTCGGCACTGGAAACACATCCATGTCACTTCATATATCCCAGGCCGCCAATGCAAAAAAGTTTTCAATCATGTCAAAAACATGATTTTGAACATTTGTATAGCACTTCAGATAACACTTGTGGTTATATGTAAAACGATATGTCTCATTCCTACATGCATTATGCTCTCTTTCTTTTCTTGTTGCCATTTCGGCAACTCATTGTTGAAAAGGTTTAAAAAGGACTCTCGTGAATCCAACGACAATGTGAAACTAGAGATTGAAGAATATACTGGTTATGTTCTACAAATTGAAGACGAGGCAAAGCTTACAGATAGAACATTGAGAAATATGCTCAGATCTATAACTAAGCTTCTTCACAAGTCTGAAAAGAAACAGCCAAGAAATCTTCTGAAGTTCCTAGAGAAGTCTACAGGATTCAGTGGAGTAGGAGAGTTCGTCAATGACAAAGTCCGACCTTCATGTCCGGAAGAAATCGAGAATTGTTGGAGCCTAGTAGCCGTAACGTTAACAGTCATTGCCCTTGCACTTCCTAACATTGAAAATGGCCAGGTCAAGGGGTTACTTTCTAGCATAAAGGAAGGCCTCCGATTTGTTAGACATATAGAAGAAACTCTCAATGTAAATGGTGAGTTGGTAAAGGCAAGAAAAACAGCTAAACGCATATGGAATGAAGCCGAAGTATACTGCAGTTGGCTGGAAATTGATCTTCAAAATAAGGCTCGTGAAGGGAAATCGTCAGAGGATATTCTTAGATGGTTAGGTGATGAAGCATACAAGATTGTGTTACAGTTCACAAAATGCAAAACCAGAAGTCTAGATGATTCACATCACAAGTTCATTGCTGCAAGTTCCATGTACAGAATCAGCCAAACCATACTGTTCCATTACAATGAACAAGGAAATTGGAAAACCGATATGGAACTTTTTGAGTGGATATCAACTATAATTGCAGATCTATTATGGGCTTGCTTTACCAACTTACCACGAGTTATAACTCTGAAGTGTCATCACGATGCAATAGAGAAAAGGAGAGAGAGAATCCAGACTGCAGCTCGACTTCTTGGTGAATCCAAAACTATTCTGAACATCCTTAAAGAATGCCAACTTCCAGACTTAGATCAGGAATCAATGGCATACATTGCTAAGTGGCAGGCACTACCAAAGAGTCAGATACCCAACGGTCGTCTTTCTTCAGCTGGGATTCAATCAGCTCTTTCATGTTCTAATGAGTCGGTCACGGTATCTATAATGGAATAAGTGTGTTTGATGTGTGTATTCTAGAAATCTACAAAGGCTTCTCATAAAGAGTCTTAGAGATTGGTTGTGTGGTGGTATTGATGTGTATATTCTATAAACCTACAAAGGTTTCTCATAAAGAGATTTAGGGTCTGTTCGGTTTGTATTATATTAAGACCTGTATGAATATAGTTGTCTGTATTGATATAGTTGTCTGTATATTAACATATAAGTTGTTATTCGGTTGTTGTGTTGAATAAACAGTTTGAATGTTACATTTTACTCCCTATCTTTATTTTTGTCTAAAAAACCAAGAGTTTGATGAAAATGTTGAATAAATTTTTGTCTAATGCAATTATCTTTAGAACCAAATCAAGAGTCGAAATCTTTTGCACTTCATATAACCCAACTAAAAGGAATCCTTGAGCAGGTGACCGATGGGTTTTCAGCCTCGATTTCGATGGGCTTGAGCAGGTGACCATTTTACCCCATGCTCCAATCGAAAACAACCTTCACCAACACAGAACACGCATCCACAAACACCAATACACAGCACACACACAGACAATGGGGGAGGGGATGACCGGTGGCCGATGGGTTTTCGGCCTCGATTTCGATGGGTTTGTCACGGAGCAGATCGATGGAAGAAAAAGGCGGATGGGTGAACTTCATTCCCTGATAGATGGAGGAAAAAGAAATTACCAGACAATGGCGGAGGGGATGACCGGTGACCGATGGGTTTTCAACCTCGATTTTGATGGATTCACGGAGCAGATCGATGGAAGAAAAAGGCAGATGGGTGAACTTTATTCCCTGATCGATGGAGGAAAAAGGAATTACCACACAATGGGAGAGGGGATGACCGGCGACCAGTGGCGGATCCAGGATTTTGGTCTAGTGGGGGCACCTTTAAGGTAGCTTAAATGCCCACCAAGTCGTCCGATGTGTTTTAAGCCTAATTCCACCATTCCAAGAGATTTTTGAAGTTTTTTTGGATTATTTCGAGGGATTTTTTAAGGTTTTCTTATCGATTTCGAGGAACTTTTCAGTTTTTTGGTTGATTTCAAGATACTTTCTTTAGTTGGTGGGGGCCCTAACAAGAAATTACGGAAGAGAACCATGGTAGAAAGTAAAAATGATAATTTTTAACCTTAAAAAATATTCATTTTTCTATTTTTAATGGGGGCCCTTCCCCCCACCTTTTACATGGTGAATCCGCCCCTGCCGGGGACCCTTAGAAGACCGATGAAGGAAGAGAGATCGGTGGCTTCAAGGAAGAGAGGACAACTTTGAAGGAAGAGAGGTTTTTTTTATTATTATTAATATAAGAAGGGTATTTGTAGAATAATCATGGCTGAGTGTCTATGACACATCTATTTGGGCTGACCGAATAAGCACTCGGCTGAAGCATTAAGCCACAACCGAACAGAATTGTATGGCTTACCGAAAAAGCCATATAACCAATACAGCCCATTAAGTCGCAACCGAACAACCCCTTAGAGATTGGTTGTGTGGTGTGTTTGATGTGTGTTGATTGGCCTTTATTCAATATTATTTTACCCAATTATTTGCTAGTCAAGTATTAATTTTTGCATCTAGTTTTAAAAATCCAAATCAATTTGAATATTTGTGATCCCATCTTTGAGCTCTTACAATTAAACGAATAGAATAGTCCATGTGGCTGGTACGATATTCGGTTCTTCAAAGCTGTATTATTGTGGTGAAATCACGCTTACATTTGGGTCATCATTGGACTAATGCAAATTTCCATAATCTTATGCTACATTCATGTGTTAGCAAAACTTGAGCTAATTACACTCATGTTCATCCTATCTACATTTGGTAACTGAAAGAATGATGCCATACATGTAGGTATTGGTGCATAGTGTGAAAAGACAAGGGAAAGAACATCAAGTTTTTATAAGACTTACGTTTGTAGGATCAATCGAAAAAGCGTCATATCTAAAAGTGTTACAATAAATTTAACTCTTTTAGGCATTTTAACAAGTTTTTAGAATGTTTTTAAAATAAAGTGTCATGTTAACTATTTTGTACGACATTATTTAAAAAGTATCCTAAAAACACAAGGGTCCTATAAAAAGTTGGGTTTATAGGAAAATTCTCAAAAGTGCCCTATAAAAAAGTTAATAAGACATATTATTTTATAAGCGTCATAAAAAACTTGTTAAAACATCAAAAACCATCATATAGATAGGATCATTTATAGTTTTGTCTTCTAACTAAGTTCTATAAAGTATCGTATTAGGACATTTAAATAAAACAGATGTCCTATAAAGCCAATTTTGTCGTAGTGGGTAGGGATGTGCAGAATTTAATCCGGCTATCAATAGAATTTACCAACCATAATCGAATATCAAATTGTAATTGGATTGGATTGGATTGGATCCAAAATTTAAACATTCAAATTGGATCGATTGGTTCTTGGATGATAGTCCATCATCCAATAAAGCTGAACCAATCTAATCCCATGACCATCCAATTAATAACTATATATAATGATTTGCATTTTACGATATTGTTTTTAGTTCATATTTATATGCATTGTTTTTTTTAATAACTTAATGAACTAATATCACAATGTCGATGGCATACAACTTCGGTCTCTCTTTTTGTTGAATACAACTAATATTCTTGCAATCAAACTAACCCGGGAGATCCAAATTTCATTTTCAAACACAAATCTACTTAAAATAGGATACCATAAACAGGGAAAATGATACAAACAAAATTCAGAAGTAAGACATACACAAGAATCAGTTCAATCAAAAGCCGTATAAAAACAAAAAATAAGTAAAGAATATAAGCTAACCTGAGAGATCGAGATTCAGGATTGGGAAGATTCTCAAGAGTTTGAGAAATGGAGCAGAAAACCCTTGAGATTGTAGAAGACCTTACATCTGATTCAACCATAGTAAATAGAATTCAAATGAATTGGGAACCATAATTATTCACACCGGGTTATTGATCTCAGTAAGAGCAAAGCATCAATCAACTCGAATCAAGTGAAGCCTTAGATTATTGCTTCAAAAAACAGAACGTTAAATCGACAAGATGAAAACAAACAGGAAATTGACAAAAATAACCACTTTACCCAACTCTTTTCATTTTATAGTCACGTCAGGACCAGTTTCACTAAATAGTCAATCCTTACGAAGAACTCTTACGCATATGCATAAAAATCGGTTTTTGGGAAAAAAAAATAGTATATAATAAGAATTCTTACGTAGAAAATTGAATCCTTACACATAAAGTGGAATCTTCACGAAGAAATATGGTACCTTGTTGTTAGTTATATATGATCGTTTTGTTACTCGAACAACACATCAACACCAGCCAAATAAAAGCAATAAATCTATAAGGGAACAAGGCTTCTGACTACTGTTCAATTAGCTACGTAAGAATTCCACTTTCTCTGTAAGGATTCAATTATTTGCATAAGGATTATTATTATTATTATTATTATTATTATTATTATTATTATTATTATTATTATTATTTTGCTGAAAATCAATCCATATGCATATGTACAAGTCTTCTACGTAAGAATCGGCTAAAAAGTAAATTTGAGTTAGAAAATTGCTAAAAAGTGAGATCACCATATCAACTTTGGTTATTTATCTAAATTTCCCAAAACAAACCCTAATCTACCATTATTGTGCATCCAGGCTACTACTACAGCAAAATACTTTGGTCCCATGAAAGACGACACTATGGAATCATTCCTATCTCATTACCTTCATAAAATGTGCTAATCAGATTTTTTTTTTACTATACAAAGAGAGAGGAACAGTAAAAGAGCTTTGACTAACTTTATTTTCAAAATTTTGAAAAGTCGAAGATACAATAAAAACCAATGAAAAATAATTGAAACGACTCCTTCTCTGATACTTCCAAAAACGTACACATCGATCTATCGTTTTTTACACTGAGTTGTCATGTTATGTGTCGAGCTTGAATTCGTTAGGAATATGGACGTTGTTTCCTTGTCTTGAGTTGGAGAAATTTGATAGGTCACTTGGCAAAAATATTCAAATCTTATATTACGAATTCATTACCTAAATCTTATATTATGAGTAGGAAAGTCAAAGACAATTAATACAAAATGGAAAAGAAATCTTGATCGCTCTTTCTTTGAACTTATGGCGAAATTTCTTAATTTCTAACTCAAACTATTCAAAAAGATATGTGTTTGCATTTTGGTAAGTTATTGAATTATTAGTCAAAGCAACTATATATAAATCGTCTAAAATTTAAAAGCAGTCAAAACAATTACCTGTGGTTCAAGTGAGAAATGTTAAATTTTAAGAATGAGAGATCCGATCTCAACCACTAGTTTAAAATTTCAATTGTAAATCATTTTTCACTGATTAAGATATATATGAAAAAATTAATATGTCCTAATTTATCTCCTATTTTTCCTACAACATTTTCTAAATATTGATAATAATTGATTTTTTTTTCCAATTTTCCACCTTGAAATCATTGGTGATTTTACAATCTATACAAATTTATAAATCTCATTTGCCTAATCTCATAATTGAACATGAATATTGATATTCTCTATTGGTCATTTGATATGTAATCAAACGCAAAAGATCTCAACAAACCATCTAATGGTGATAATCAAGTATATATTCATTCACAGGTGAAGATGTGAATCTTAACATTAATTCACATTTGAATCCTAATATAGATTCACATGTGAATCTTAATTAATCAAAACTTATACGTGAATCAACTTAAAACTTATAATCGAGATTCTGAATCAATATAAGATTTATATGTGAATCTTAAATTATATATATATATATACACACACACACACACGTGTGTGGGGGGGTCAAGTTCAAGAGAAAATACTAAATAAACGAAAATTTGGAAAACTACAAAAAAAAAAAAAAAACAAATAAAAAAGTATATCAATATGGATATCATTTTAACGAGAAAAATATGATCGTTATTTTGATGTAATTTATTTCCCTCGAATTTTGTTTATTTTTTTGTCCTTTTTCAAACAAAAAATAGGGGATTGAAGGGTTTTCAATTAAAAAAATATTGTTGTAACTGTTCGTTTAATCACGTCATTCAATCATCTCATCTAAGAGTTGATAAACTGTTTATTAGTTTTTTCTCTACACCTTCGCCCCCCCCAACTCTCTATATATATATGTTCCAACTTTCATCTTTCTTAGATTCCTCCTCCTCTCTCTCTCTATATATATATATATATATACATATATATCAAACATCGGTTACCACGTATTCTACCAAATTAAGCAATATAAAACTTCATTTTCACTTGTCTTGCAATATGAAATCTACTGCTGAAGCCATGCCATGGGTAGGGTTATATGTTGCTGTAGCATCTCTCATTTGCACTCTTGCAATGGCTGCTGATGTCTTCCAAGGTTTTCGACAACGTAAACTCTGGTTTCCATGCAAATTTTTCACCCTCAATGCAGCTTCCATAACACTGATAGCAATAGCAATGAAGTTACCAGTGGATCTAACAACCAACATCTCTAACGATGATGCTTTCATCTATCCAAATTGGAGCATAAGGTCAACCAGCATCTATTTCTTGTTGACCATGTTAGCTAACTTTCTCCCTTCTTTAGGGGGTATGGATGACAAGGAACTTTTCACCAACATCATAGCCCTAGGTATTCTCATCATCACCATTATTGTAAATATGTTCATTCAATTAGCTGTTATTCATGATTTTCTTAAATTATACGTGATAGATATGTCTATCATCACAATTTTCCTTTTATGGCCATTTTGGGTAGCTTTTACAGTTCCAGCGTCGACAAGAATTTTAGAATACCAGTATGAGGAGATGCATAGATCAACTTTAGATTGTCAAGAGATAAAGTTCTCGCCCAAGGAACTCACACATTATGTTAAAAAGTACTGGATGATTGCCGAAACTGGGAACCCCCAATTTGTGATAGCTTCTTCACCCATATGTTCTGCTTCTGGGTTGGTATGCTCATTAAATGCTACAACATCTATTATTAGGTTGATATGGAAGTTGGCTTATACACCAAGTTTTTGGGATGGAAAATCAGATTATAAGTGGTCAATCAATGTAATTCTTACCATACAATATGTTGGGATTGTAGTAGGTAGCATTGCACCAATTTTCAGATGCATCACTACTACCACTTATTTCAACCTCTCAAAAGAGTGGAGCATCAATCATATAAACATGTTTAGAGTTGAGAAACATTGGACCCAAAGGCTTCGACACTGGAAACGCAACCATATTACTTCACATATCCCAGGCCGCCATTGCAAAAAAGTTTTCAATTATGTCAAAAACATGATTTTGAACTTTTGTATAGCACTTCATATAACGCTTGTGGTTATATGTAAAACGATATGTCTCGTTCCCACATGCATTATGCTCTTGATCTATTATTTTTGCCATTTCTGCAACTCATTGTTGAAAAGGTTTAAAGAGGAACCAAATGCATCCAACAACAATGCAAGATCAGAGATTAAAGAGTATATTGGTTATGCTTTGCAAATTGAAGAGGAGGCAAAGCTTTCAAAGAGAATGTTGAAGAATATGCTGAAATCTATAACTAAACTTCTTTACCAATCTGAAAAGAAACAACCAAGAAATCTTGTGAAGTTTCTAGAGAAGTCTACAGGATTCAATGGAGTAGCAGAGTTCGATAATGACCAAGTCCCACCTTTACATCCGGAAGAAACCAACAATTGTTGGAGCCTAATAGCAATAACATTAACAGCCGTTGCCCTTGCACTTCCTAACATTGAAAATGGCCAAGTCAAGGGGTTACTTACTAGCATGAGCGAAGGCATCCAATTTATTACACACATTGAGGAAACCCTCGATGCAAATGGTGACTTGGTAAAGGCTAGAAAAACAGCTAGACGTGTATGGACTGAAGTCGAAGTATATTGCAGTTGGCTACATATTGATCTTCAAATGAAGGCTCATAAAGGAAAAATGTCGAAGGAGATTCTTCAATGGTTGAGTGATGAAGCAGTACAGATTGTGATACATTTCAAGCGAAAGAAAAAGACAAGTGTAGATGAGTCACTTCATAAATTCATTGCTGCGAGTTCGATGTACAGAATCAGCCAAACCATACTGCTCCATTTCAACGAACAAGAAGATTGGCCAACAGATGTGGAACTTTTTGAGTGGATTTCAACTATAATCGCAGATCTACTATGCGCTTGCTTTACCAACTTACCACGAGTCATAACTCTGAAGTGTCATCACGATGCAATAGAGAAAAGGGAAGAGAGCATCCAAACTGCAGCTCAGCTTCTTGGTAAATCCAAAACGATTTTGAATATCCTCGAAGGACGCCAACTTCCAGACTTAGATCAGAAGTCAATGGCATACATTGATAAGTGGCAAGCACTACCAAAGAGTCAGGTACCAAATGGTCGTGCTTCTTCAGCCGGGATTCAGTCAACTTCTTCAATTTCTAATAAATCGGTCACTATAGCTATTACGTAACGATATTAGAGTTCGTTTAGAGGGTATTTTGGTAATTTGTTCCATTTTCTTTTTGTAAGTTCTCGGTCGTTCCTGTACTATATGTTGGATTGTTTGTTCAAGATGGTGAATGAAATCATTTACGCTATTTCTCGCTCATATACTTCTCTCTCAAACTTGTGTCTATTATATAAGTTATTGGAAAAGCAAAGAAAAACAGCAACACGCATATGGACTGAAGTAGAAATATACTCCACTTGGCTACATGTTGATCTTCAAAAGAGGGCTT